CCGCACCGGCCCGACCGGTCCGGCACGGACCCCTTACCGGGACCCCGCTCGTCACTGACCTGCTGCTCCTCCTCTATCCGCTTCTGGCGCTCCTCCTGTTTGCGCTGCTTCTGAGCGGCCTTCTTCTGACGGTCGGCCTCCTTGAACTGCTGCACACGCGGATCGCAGGCATAGGCACTGTCCACCAGCTGGCGCAAGCGCGCCGTCTCCGCCTTCTTGCGGTCTTTACGCGCTGCCTTATTCTGCCGCTCGATGAAGCGCCGCTCGTCCCGGCTGACGAAAGAGGTGAGAGGGAGGAGGGGGTGGTGTCAGACAAGGAGCGGACACCGAGCCAAGCGGGGCGGGGGGGGGGGGGGGGCGGGGAGGCCTCAACTCGCAGCGAGGGCCGCCACGGAGGCAAATATGCCTTGTAATTTAACATGTTTTCCAGCGTGGCAATGCCACTTGAACCGGAGTAAACCTGTTTTTGGTCTGGCAGAATTGGGACACATTTGTTCGACCTTTGTCAGTCTTGTGCTTATTTCAACATACTGAGCGGGGCGGCTGCTGTTCGCCACACAGTCCATTGTGCCAATCAAAGCAAGCTATTACGTCAGTTACACAGCTATTGACGCGGCATTTTAAATGTCGCCCCTGCGAATTCGTTATCCCCATATTTGATTTGGGTTCAATGCGGTTGAGTGGGTTGAGTGACACATGTCGCGTCACACATCGACGGGCTTTGTTGCGAAACCTATGGCAATTCGTTTGAACGCATATCTCTTGATTTTGTCTTTCTCTTAACAGTAAAAAAAAACAAAAAAAAAACAGCAGACCGATAAGGTCAACAGCCAATGCGTAAAAACGCAGAAACCGAATTACATGTTGCCAGTCTACTCAACCGATCAGCGTGTCCGACATGTGAGAACAGCGAGAACTGCGATCATCGGAGGACGGCATCGAGCCTGGCGCCCCAAACACACGGCCATCGATCATCGATAGCCAGCAGGCGTTGGCTGACGTCGCGTACAAGTGCGCTATCGCCTGACACAGCTCGGCGCATGCGGAACGCATGCGGTCGCGTCTGCAAGCCGAGCAAATCAATTTCACACTAAAGTAAAGGCGGGAATGAGATGCATGATGCGCATGATTTTCAAACCACCTCATGCGCAAGACGCCATTGCGGCGCCACTCACTTCTCGCCCTTCTCTTTTTCCTCCTCGTCCAGATAGCTGAACTCGCGCCACGAGTCGAAGTTGTACCAGAAGCTGTAGAAGCACTCGACGTGGTCGCGGGAGGAGGTGGGCGAGCCCAGGTCAGGCACCGGCTGCTTGCTGGACCAGCGGGCATTCCTCGCGAACACCGGCCGGAACGTCTGTGGGCGGCGCCGGCGACGACCGCGTCATGGCCGGGTCGAGCGTCACGACGGCGCGCTCGGTCCCCAGCGTGGTGTCATGGCTCGGCCTCTCCACCGTGGCCAGTCACCAGTTGACCGTTGTGGACAGGCCAAATCTCGGGCGTCCCTTATGGTACACATACCTCATGTCTGCCACACACTGCATTTTATGTTAAGGAGACGCACTGCACGTCATCGGGTATACTTTTAGAGACCACCAACGGCTGCAGAATTCATATTAGCGTTATCAGACGTCGTACAATCTACCTACCTAGAGCACCAGGACAGCACAGTGCATGGCCAACGTTGCGGAAACCTCCCGTCTTGAAGCTTAGATCCCCACAAAAGGTGTGCTTACAGCCAATCATAATTTGAATATCGCACACACCACACACAGAATCTTTAATTATCACCTCTTTCGGCTTTAATGATCATAAATACAGCTCAGCGACTTCAAAAACCTTCTAGTCTTTGAGCAAAGGGTCACCCGAAAGGAGTTTCAACAGCAGTGACGTAGCCTGGGGTCATTGTGGAAGTAGCCAGGAGACCATTGGGACATGCCCCTCCCCCACCCCGAAGTAACCTACCCCTGGAGCCGAAGGCTCTACTAAACGCCCACGGGGATTTAAAGCATCGACAGGCCCTCGAGTCATGCAAAGGTGATCTAAAGCCAACAAAGGTCCCCTGCAGCGACAACGTAGGGTTCCCTTAGCTGGCAGGGCCCCTATCATCTGATTTGACCACCTTTTGGGCAAATCCTGGCTACGCGACTGCCCAACAGCCAGCAATAATTGGAACCGCGCGTCTGCGGCACAGGAAATGTTTTTCTATGCTTCAAATCGTGTGCAGCCACTCACCTAGGGATTTAATGTCCACAGCGAACATTTCGGAGAAAATTACGATCAACAAGGGACTAGCTGACCCGAATCGCCACAGGCGACGCACAAGCTATAAATCAATGCACACGACTTTAACACTGGCAGCGCAGCTGTAAACCATGGCCACATATGGTGCACATTGAACAGAATTATTCAGAGCACAGAAACAACCCAAACTGCGTGTGTCCAATGACGCCGAGCCATTTTGCCCTTTAAAGGGGTTGGGTAGATTTTGGGGCCAGTGATGTAAATGGTGCGAACTTTTGATTAGTGGGTGAGTGAGTGAGCGACTGCTTGAGTGAGTGGATGAGCGAACAACTATGTGAGAAACAAAGTGAATGAATATGAGTGAATAATCGTACGGCTGTGGTCTGCAAGTCTCTGCAGATTTTTGTGAAGGATGTCCATGTCTCTTAAAGAAAACACTACTCTTAGTTTTCACAGGAAGGTTATCCGAAAAGTTAAAAAATCATTATCTTTCATGAAAGGGACAAGCCCACCTTCAGTTCAACTTACTCTTGTCTTCGGGCGAAAAGCACAATTGCCAAAGAGCAGCCTTCCGATCTCAAAGCTCAAACGACCGAAGCATTGTAAGTTGTTCGCTTTGTCTTCGACCGCAGCGCTATGGAAAACAAGTCCGTCACGATAACTCGGCTAGTCAGGGTGCCTGACTTCCGATCCAGCCGCCTGTGACAGGCGATAATGACACTCTCATCATGGCTGTTTAATGATGAAACGCTACGACCGAGGACAAAGCGCAAAAATTACTAAACCTCAGCTGTTGGGACATGTAAGGACGGTTGAAACTGTAAGGACGAGGGATGAACAGGCGATTTCAAATAAGGTCTCCATCCGTTCAAAGGGAAACCAGACCGGAAAGCTTGCTTTGGAACGGCACAATCCATCACTTCGCAGTGAGGGGAAAAGGTAGATATTCACTCATAGTTTTGTGTGATGGATGCACCACTAGTTCGACCGGCGTCTCGGAGCTTTGGTGCGCGTCTCGGAATTTTGGTGCATTTTACCACACCAATCTGCGATATCAATCAATCCAATAACATGATACTACGCGCACATTCCAAAGCCTTAAGCCAGCGTCCTAGCACCTGAAATTGTTGTCAAAAAGGCAGGTTACCACCAGGTCAAAAAGTTCAGCGTTACCACCAACACCAGAATACAATCAATCTACTTGAAACACAGTATCACCCACATCCGCTCAACGCTATATGCGTCAATAGAACAGCCCAAAATTAAGACCACACTATTTCTCGTGACTTTATCTCAACATTTGGACGAGGGCGAGCCCATCGTCAGCACTATCCCTGACGTCCACACAGCCATGCTGTCCACGCCTCACCGACCTTAAAGAACTTTTCCTTGCTGACTTTGCCGTCGGGTATCTCGTCGTCGAAGAGCGGGTCCACAGAGTCGAAGCTGGCCCGTTTGGCGGGCGCGCCGAGCGTCTCGTAAGCGCGGGTGATGCAGGTGAAGTAGTCGTCCTCCTCGCGGATCTCCTCTCCGGCGCCGCGCCGCTTGTCCGGGTGGTGTTTCAGCACCTTCTGCCGGTCTGCCAGGGAGGGGGGCAGGTCAGCTTAAGGTGACATCTCCATCATAACGCAACCGGCGGTGAACCGGCTATGTTGCCAGTCAGTCAGTCATCATTTTTTGTGTTACTCCTAAGCATAGCATTAGTAAGATCATTTGCACAGAAAGGCGTTAACCAGTTCGAAAAGTATCCTGTATGTAAACAAATACACATAATACATATATTATTAGGAATATATAATTTGCGTTCAGTGACATGCTCTTCCTAACTAGATTACATATCAAACATGCACAGCGCATTAATTGTCTAGAGTGGTTTCGCCACTTGGTCGTCAAAGCAAGGCCTGACAAAGCACAACAGCATCATTGTACCGAAGGTTCAGAGTCGGCAGCAAAGCCATTGTATGAGCTTTACGCCTATTACAGAACATATATCGGAAATAATTCACAAGACGTAGATCAATTGTCCCGAGACGGACGGGCACACAGTAATGAAATGGATGAAAACACTGTTCTTAAAAGACATGAATAAAGAGCACTTTCATACGTGCACTCCACCGTTCCGCCCTATTAGCCAGGCGAATGCGGGAGCAGCCATGTGACATCGCGCTGGTCATATCGGCAAAAGGAACACCTCGTAACTAGCCGGCCGAAACAAAAAATGTCACGTGGTAGAAATAATAGCGTCGCTAATTGATGCACACCGTCGTTTCGATTATTTATCGTCGCATGTGACTGGTGAGAGCAGTAGCGTTTTCACCCATTGCGGAAGTCAGGGCAAGCGAAAGTTTCCTGCGGACAAAAACGGATCCGAAGTTCTCGACCCATTACCAAACCCGAATATGTTGCAAGCAGCTGTTTTAGGCGTATCGAATGCAACGATCAATTAGTGTCCATTGTCAGACTTGAAATGCGCCCGCCAGTTACAGGGGCTTGTCCCCAACCAGCAAATTTAATGTCAGAGTTCCTTACCCAAGGTGCCAACTACCGCAAACAACCCAGTGCCATTTACTCAGCTCCGCAACAACCGGCCTGTTCAATGAAGAACTCTCATCCACAGGGGCTTCGACACCGTCTCACAGTGCACTAATGATCGCGTGAGGGCGGTGGGATCGGCACCCCGTCCGGCACGCGGTGAGCGCGAAGGGAGCGGACGGCACGTACATGCCCCGCTTAATGTCCTCCTCGGTGGCCTTGAAGCGCAGCTTGGTCAGTCCCAGCACCTTGTAGTGGTCCTGCTTCTGTAACGATCGATTCAGATGACGTCAGTGATGGCTAGACAGCTTCTCCGTAAGTATGCATTGACAATCGACTCCACAGCAGCTTGGTAACTAGGTAACTCACGTCTAGGCCGGCCAACCCAGTAGGTCGTGCAGCTTAGACAGTTTGTGCACACGCCTAGTTTGTCACGGAGGGAAGGATTCCAATTTTGACAACATGTCAACGGCGGGCGCGACAATGAATTCTAGTCATAGCGATACCGGGAGACACGATACCACCCACACCAAATTATATAATTAACTATTCATAACGGTACAACAGAAACATCATGACAGCATGTCAAAAAACAATTTCGAGCTTTCTTACAACAAAAACCCTCGAAGGTGGTCTACCAATAACGTGTTTTATGATGCAATAAAATACAATTCATGACCTGGATACCTTACCTACCGGGTCACGATCGTTACTGCAAGTGATACTACATTAACGCAGGTTTGTTACCTTACGTTCTAGCTGTTTCAAAATTTATTCCCTGCACGAACTCATCATTTTTCCCCACCCCCCGATGGTATGGCATATTGGTGGGTAGAACCGATTATGATCCACCTAATGTGGAGCCTGATCAGGGCACAATACACATTTTACTGGTGGCTACAAACTCCCATCATATGTCGCATACGTCGGACACTCCCTTTAAGGGAAGCGTCCTCCCCTCCCCCTTGGAACATGCTTCAAAACATACTCTGGTCAAACCTCAGGATCATTTACATGTTATCATAATACTGGGTAGTGTCATAACATCATAAAGACATAATAAATATATACATTTTACTTATTTTCGAGTCCAAAGCCCGCTGTCAACGCTTCATAGCAGCAATACATTTCTCCCTCTCGTATGAGCCCCAGAGTGTAACCCGAGTCCGCGACAACCACAGTTGTCTCCAGCGCCGTCATGACGACGATAGAATCTGCCGAGGCCCCTGCTGAGGCTTGAATGTGGCACCGTTACTGGTACACATGAGGTCGGTACAAATGCACGTTTGCGATTTGTACATCAGGCGGCAAGGACCAGTTTCTGTGAAACGCATCGGGTAAAGTTTGAACCAGTGCGTCACTTAAGACCATACGATGCTCCGTTTCCCAAAACCACGTGCGCTTCGAATAGAGCCACTGTGATAACCACCGTAATGGAGAAAGCAAAGCCATAACGTTTCGCTGAATTCCCGGATAAAAGCCTCATGTTTGAATATTTTGTCCTCTTAGCACTGTTTCAACGCTTCATAACCTTTATTACACACACATTCTGAAATAAGTACATAGCAAGCATTGCAGAGCAGACACGTTGGAAAAGACCAGACCAATGCAATGTATTGCTTTCATAGTGGTGCACGGGAAGTTCAATGAGATTTCTCCGGCGGAAATGCCTAGTAGAAATAAAAATTTTGAGCTATTAGCCGCTTCGCGATAGAGTAATGCACTGAATAGCTTAAAAAGCTTTAAATGTTTCTCTGCAGTTTCAGTACATACTCAACACTATGACCAGAAAGATTGCTGTCATGCATTTCATGCATGCATTTCATCATGTCATGCATTAACCTGTGATAGGTAAACTACCTGTATCCAACTAAGAATAAGTTCATTATACTAAACGCGACCCTTTCTAGACATTTCTTCAGCAATGCATTTAGTTCATCCAAATTCTAGAAAAAACACTAGCTCTGGCGGTAAGAAAATCTGAATCGACTGAGGGTGTTGGATGCCGGCTACCCAATTATTGTTCCCATCGGTGCTGTGTGAAGCAAGTGGGCTCTGAGGATCATTTCATTCAAGGATCACTCATCTTGGATCATGTTAAGGCATGTAAGCCCTGTGAGCTCTGTAAGTACTATACGCAAGCTCTGTAAGTACCGTGTGCAAGCTCAGTAAGCACTGCATTCCTTTGTACAGGGACGGTACTGGGACATGGGATTGTCGCGCCTGCGTGATAGATGCCACTTAATATTTTCTGACAAGTTTTGAAAAACTTCGGTAGGAAGCGATCTGGCATCATTTCTGTCTAAAAGGGCATGATCTTGCTTATAGCCAGCTAGCCGCAATTTTATCAAACTATGGGTCTTACAAACATTGTTTAAAAAAATTGCGAAACATTACTAGACAAAAATCGCTGATAAAATGTGTATGGTTAGAAGCAAAAACACTTGAGTTTTAAAAAATGTTAAAAAAGCTTTGCACCATAACCGTTTGTAAAAACAGCTATCCAGAAGAATTTAGAGAAAACTGGCATTATCGCTCAATGGGACGCGTCTGATATAGCAATCATGGAAAAGTACAAAAATGCCAGCATACCCCTTTTAATTCGTTCCACATAATTGCCATAGTGCCAAATGTAAATAATAAACTTTAAACTGGACTGAACTCATCCACGGGCATATGCAAGATTTCCTATATTGTTTGCACAGTATGATGAATATAATGCAAAAGCCATGACATGTACATGTATGCTCGCACATACTGGCATTGTTCTAGAGCTCAACTCTCTGTGGCATTGGACACTGCGGAAGTGGGCAACTCTAGGTCTGGTTTTCCTTGATCTGTACAACCCATGTTGCTCATGTCCGGGCCTGTCACTTGCGAACCCTAACTGATTTATATGCAAATGAGAAACGTATGAATATAATGCTGGACGTTTTTCATAACTGCTGAACTTTCCTTGATTACATGTATGCTTGCATACTTTGTTGGCTTGCAACACTTTCCTTTCCTTCGTAGTTTTCTTTTTCTATTAAAAGGGGAGATACCCGCTATTGTCTTCAATGGCTTCTATCGGTACTGCTAGGGTGCGGCCTATTTTTGGGTCAGTCTCCACTTTGCAAATTCCGCGTATGCTCGTACATATTCGGACGTGGCAGTGTGCCTGCGGGCCGCAAACGTTGCATTTCCAATATGCATGTGTGCATACTGCATGCTGGTTGATCACACCAGAATAGTCCAATACAGCCTTTTTGAGACTGAGTCTTGCATACCACACGCTCGGGCCTATATCGGGAGCGAACGACCACTGAACTACACAGGTGTGCAGCCCAGTCAACTGTGACCAATGCCGATCCCCACAAATATGCATAAGACTTTCGCAACGCCTTGGTCCGGTCGTCACAAACGTAAGCCATTCCAAATTCAGCAATTCCACGGCTAGTCTTATCTACTGTCCCCTCTAATTTTGAAGGCAGAGCAGAGCAACATTACCTTTAAAGGGAGTGTTCCACATATGTACGGTGTTTTGAACCGAAATAGCTATATTGAAGATCATTCGGCGCAATTCACAGCCTTGTCCTTCCTAAGGCCGCTGCGCCTTGTTTTTGAGCTGCACACCCGCGAAGACGTGCAGACTTTTCCGGGGACATTATGTCAAGGTCATCCAGGCATTAATGACGCAATAACAACATCATTTAAATCTGCCATTCCATTCGCCATTGCAGCGATCAAGACGAAATGTAAATGTCGCGTCACTGATACCTGGCGCTCGTAAGCATGATTTACAGATACAACGGCCGTCCACCGACTCTCCATCGGCAATATAGAAGCCACGACGGCTTAATCACACAATGACGACTTGAGGCATATATACTCAACAGAGAAACTGTGCTGTCTGGAACAGCCTTTTCCACTTAAAAGTATGCCAATAGTTATAGGTTAGATTACTTCGTCATATCTGATGTTTGCTTCCAAGTCTTAGAATGTGGAACATTCCGGTTAATACCCTTGTCCCCTTGCCTTTTTAAACGCAATTCTCTGCATATCAATTATCTGAAAAGTAACTGCAAAGTAGCAAAGTAACAATAACTGCAAAGTAAGCATCAAATGTGATAGAACAAGCTCGCTCATAAACTGCTTTCAAAAACACATTTTCTTTTTGTTGTAAATACGCTCCTAAATCCGTCATTGTTTGGTTGGTCATGGAACGTTTGAGGACGTGCTACCAAACTAGCTGTGCAAAATTTCCACTTCCTTGTAGTACTTCAGACTCGCCGGGAGATGGCAGGTGCAGCGCTGGAAGTGTCCGCTGAGCCAAATATAGTTATAGTGCTTGTGTTTTGGCCCTTTTTCGTGGCGTTCATGCACATTTAGCCGGGAGTTTAAGATGTCGACTGGCATTGCCAAACTCAGCTGTGACGTTATTGGTAAGCTATTCAATTATCATTGTTAAGATTATTCGATCCCATTTCCTAGCAAGTGAAAAACCATGTACAACTTCACATCTTATGTCCCAAAAAACGCGATTCGTGATTTCAGTTTGCAGAACTTAGTCCACATGGTTTGAGAGCCAGTTGGCATCCACCATATTTGGAAATAGTGTTCGGAAACGCTGGATCTGAACGGCTGACGATAATGTTCTTCCTGGTCTTGTACGTCGCTAGGAATGCGGGGTGGAATGATTTGAATGACGTTGCTCTGACGTCACGCATGCCTGAGTGGCCTTGGAAAAGTCTGCACGAAACATTCTACAGATCTTCGCTGGTGTGTAATTCAGGAACTATAGGGCTTTAGGCCTTTGGCAGGACAGGACTATGAACAGCACCAATGATCTTCAAAACAGCTATTTCAGCTCAAGATCCCACACAAATGTGGAACACTCCGCGCGTCTGGTTACCTACATTATTCTTCTGGACTTACCCCATCTTAATTATTTTTGTTGTTGAAAACCTGTTGGCCTTGCCCAGAAAAATAAAGCAAAAGCTGTGCGCGTCAGCTGAGCTGACGTCAAAGCGAATGTCGTATTTTAGTATCTCACAGATCATTTCAGGGACAACTTGCGGCATGACCGAGCGTGGATGTTGCTGTCCTTGGCACTAGATTGCCTGATCTTAAATTTGCATGGGTCTAAATTGTGAAAAGCGCAACCACCATGGGTCTTGTGTGTTGCGACTGTATTCATTCGCATGTGCCTTGGATCTGCGTTGGTTAAAGTGCATTCCATAAACATCAGCTCATGCCTGATATTCGCAGCAGTCGGTGGCGCTTG